TCCTTCATGAGCAATTCTTTGGCAAAGTCCTCATGTATGTTTGCACAAATGTGAGTGTCACTGGCAGACGAACCAGGAGCTTTCTCATAAGACGCACATCTCCTGGAAAGGTTGTAATCCAATAGATTTTAATATTTCAGCTAATGCAAACTATATGAATGAGACAATCAGTAACATAACTTACTAGGAAGTAGTGGGCAGGTCTCCAAACAGAACAACTCTGATTAAAAAATGAGACGCTGGTGGTGGACATGTTTTCACCTGAATATTGTGTCCTCAGAGATGGTGTCTCCTGCTGAGCTCAACAGAGGGTCGGCCACGGGAAGCGTCCTCAGTCTGGACAGTTCGGTTTCCAATGTGGGTAATTTACTCTTAAATTGTGGCAGGTAATCAATAACCATGAGCTCTTCAGGCAGGAGGAGATCTTTGGCAGATGTAAAAAAGAAAAAATGATCAACGTCACAAGTCAAAACACATTCTTCCAACTGTTGAGTTACCTTTGTTCTGACTTCCAGGTTCCATCTGGTCAGTTGTCAACTTGAAAAAGATTTCGTGACACGGATCATTGACCTGCGACTCTTTTAAATTACAAACGGCCTCCTCCTCAGCTTGAAGTGAGTCAGGATTAGAGCTGGGTATCTTCTCCACATCCCTGTTCGCCTCATTTAGAGTCACATTAAATCTGGAATGTGACAAAAACTTTGTAAACCCAAGTCATCCACCATCGATAACAAAAAACAGAATAAATATTGAAATGATGACTTATATGATAAAAATACAGGAAGGGAAAAAATGATGCAGAGTAAGTGAAATCACATCACCTCTCTGTAAAATTCATAGGCTGTTTTGTTCCTCCCAGGTCATCAAGCACAGAACCACTGACAAAGAGTTTGCAAGCGGAGATCACCTTTCCTGTCAGGTGCATCAGAAAAAAATATAAAGACACTCCATACACTCCATTTGCATCAAATATTACACTGCACAATTTAATGCATGTGGTTTTAGTTTTGTATTTGACTTTTTTACAGTGGGCTCTTTCTATCTTGACGCTGTGTTAACCTGAATATGACCAATAAAACTACAGCGACACCAACAATATGTGACATTAGCGGGGGCCACTTCATCACCTCTGATCCACGGTGTCCTGTAGGTGACTTCAGGCAGTTTGCCACTGTGAGGGTACAGGTGGGTATCAGTCAGGTAAGGAGCCGGCAGTGCCAGCAAGTTCATCATGACTTTGGTACTGATGGTCCTCTGAAATAATAATAACAATGATTATTTCTACTGCCTTTTTAAACTCCCAGAGAAATCTTACAATACATGACGTACAAACACAAGAAGAGTTAAAAGTATACCAAGATAAGAGGCAAAGACATGATTAGACGAGTCTGACAGAACAGTATGAGGTTGACGCTAAGTTGTATTGGAAATAAACAGAAATGCAAACGCATCTTATTCCAGTACAGCCGTAACATTAGATTAACCTCACACTATTAATGAACCCGGTATTCCAGAGGTAAAATGAACAGACTCACCTCGAACACATAGTCCAGAGCTTTATATGTGACAGGGGAGAAGATGCGAGGAGGTAAACAGCCGCCGCCATGTTCACACCTGGAGAGTGAAATGAGAATATTTCAGAGAGCATTCATTAATCATCTCCTGTTTTCTCATCGATACCTGAACGACAGCTTCGACCCTGATACTCGAATGACTAAAGCCACGCGTAACATGTCTGTTCAGGTTAAATACTAGAACACGAGTGTTTAAATCCACGAAATGAATATTACGAAGACTTTTCTGTTAGCTTGGTGAGCTAGCTAGCTAGCTCTCCTCTAGTTACCGCTAACTTCTCTCTAACGTCGAACAAATGTCATTTAAGGACAACTTCAACAGCGCAAAGTGTCGACACTGAATAATGAGACCGTGTCAGTTCAATTAATTAAATATAAAGTCATTTAAAACTTACATGATGACGCGATGCTCGGTCCCGCTAATTCTAACAGAGAGGGTTCATGTCAAAGATCGTCAATTGAAGAGGAGCTCACAGGTGTGTGGTTTTTTTTTTTAGCTTTTACCTTCACGCATGCGCTTTGGACATTTGAGTTGATTGGACAAAACCTCATTCTCTCTCTCTCAGCCACACACACACACACACACACACACACACACACACACACACACACACACACACACACACACACAAACTATATTTTCCAAATTGCAGGCTGTGAAATTATTAANACACACACACACTTCATATATTTTCCAAATTGCAGGCTGTGAAATTATTAATAATCAAAATAAACATTTCCAGTGTCGATTTCCATATTTTTGGTGTTTCTGTATTTGTGTGTTTGTTTCTTTGCAGATTTCAGTCTGTGAATGGTATCTCATATTATCAATAGGTTTGTGGAAGATATAAGTATTTGGCCATTCGACATTCACAATGAATGAAACATTCTCTGATGGAGTTCAACATCAGACCCTTTGTGCCATTTCTATTTTAAAGTTCAGCCAGAGGGAGGCAGCGTGGAGGGGAAAATAAAAAGGACGAACCCATCTGTCACAATCTGTTTTTATCTTGTATATAAACTCAGAGACAGACGATCAGAGTGAGATGGAGCAAAAGAGCAGAGAAAACATGTGGTTCCTTTGTAATAAAGACTTCTTGTGACGGCTTATTTTATCGACAGGTCAATATTGTGTTTCTTCATTTCATCAGAGGGAGGTACCAGTCACTATTTTCATATTTCATAAACAAATCATACACATGGGATAGTAATAATATTTAGATATAGATATAGAGGGTCTTATATAGAGTATAATTTTGAATGGCTAAATCACACAAGTGGTGAGAGAGTCTGTGTCCTGGGACTGACTTTTAAAAGTTACAGAGAAAGATCTCTGTTTGAGTTTTACTAGTTTCTCATCAAGGTGAGATCTACTGTCCAGGCTTATACACTGATAAAAACACAATGACCAGACAGCGTGTGTGTGTGAGTGTGTGAGTGTGTGTGTGTGTGTGTGTGTGTGTGTGTGTGTGTGTGTGTGTGTGTGTGTGAACCAAAAATAATCATTATCACTTTGGTGATGGGGTGACATCTCAGTGACGTCACAGACCGTTGCATTGTTACCCCCATAAGCCTGTTTCACTGGAAAGTCACATTATTCTGTTGTGATGCACTTACACTCTAGATGTCACGGTAAAGGCAGTTTAAACCTGACATGTGATCTGTGACGCCTGAGTCTGGGAATGTGTGTTTTTCATCATGGAAGCTTTCACACTAGAGAGAGGACTTCACCTAATGAGCCCTAATGAAAGAGGGGATAACGAGAGATACGTTTTCATGTGACACGTTTCTTGGGGCTTTACATGGTTAAACATGATTTATTAATGTAGTTTGCATTAACAAAGTTATTAGTTTACACTTTCCACATGATGAAATATTGTTCGGTCTGCCACTTAGTCATTTCAGAATTAGTTCATTATTCCTTTTTTGTTATTCTGTAGTTTCTTTAATGTTTATATTACATGTTGTGTAATATGTTTATATAAGCTGTTTGCACATCTCACAGCATGATCGTTTTTTAATTCTTTCAGGTCTTGTGTTTATTGTGAACTGATACCTGATACACACGTCCCTCTGTGAAAGTTCTCACCCTGACAAAAACGCTTTAGTGAACAGTTTTGAAAAAGTGACTGGAATTCCCAAATGACAGCGCTGCGCTTTAGATAGGATTCAAATTACTTTAAAAATCTTTTACCCAAATCTCCGGTGGAGAATTTAAACCTCTGACACAATTTATAACTTTTGTTGTTTATCTGCGCGCTCAGTGTCACGACATCTGACCTGGTTTTGTATTACAGAGACTCAGAATGACACAGTAATGGCCTTTATTTTTAAGCTCTGTAGAATTATGTTTAGGTTCTTCACTGTTTAAACACGTCTATTAATCTAAAATGTGTTTTAAACATACTGAGTCTGTGTCAGAAGAACCGAAGAAGATGAAGAAGATGCACCAATGGAACAAATGCAGGAGTGAAGGAGAAAATGTTTGCTGTACATAATATAGAGTGCCACCTCTCTGGTCCGGCCTCTAACGTGCACAGAGAAAGACACTGAAACACAAGATACTTGTGAACAAAAAACTGTCACTTGATACTGTGAGTTCTCTAGTTTCTGCCCTCTCAGTGAAAATCATGTTTTCTTTGTTCCACGAGTATCAGTCAAAGTTTCTGTTTGTGCTAAAATCGTTCTAAAATGACACGGACACTTATTTTGAAACACTTTGGTTTATTGACACTGTACATCGGCTTTGGTTGATTTGCTTATTTCTATAGTAAAACTATGTCACAATTCGCACATAATATTTCTTACAGTCCAAAAAAAGAAAATCATGCAAATACAGTCGATACTGTTGCAAGAGAGAGTTGTTTTCTAGAAACATTTGTTTACAGTACAGACAATTTTCAAATTATAATTATAATTATTGTTATTGTAACTTTCTATGTTCTAAAGGAAACAGATTGTCATTTTTTTGGAAATGCTCAGGTTCAGGGCAGATTGTTTTACCACTGGACATATCTTAGCATCTAACTCTTGGCAAGAAGGCTAAAAGGCACATTTACTAAAATGACAAAATATTTCTTTTAAGAAGACGGAGTTGCTCATTCTTGACCTTAAAACGTTTAGTTCGACATAAAAAGGACAAAAAGTCCTCATACTAGTTTTGACTGTGAGATGTAGTTACGAGCCGTCAGCACATTTACGGCTTCTTCTCTGCAAAAGCTGTGGTTCATTTTTTACGTTCTTCGATCTGCTCCACCTCACTGGACTCATCCACCACTTTACCATTGATCATGGTCTGAGTGACGACTTTTACAATCTTCCTGGTCCTTACATCAGGGTCTTCTGCAACACAGAGGTAAACCAGGCTCAGTCACAAAAACATGCAATGACATTTATCTTTCTTGTTAAGTGGAGCAGCACAAGTACCATTAACAGTAATACAAATACAAATCAGTATGATGTTGAAGCGGCACCAATGCGTTTTGACATAATTTGACAATTTAGGTCAGTGAACTGTGTAACTAACTCCAAACTTCCAAAAAGAGATGAAACGTGAACGAAGCCAGCTTGAACTTTTTTATACAGTTTTGTTGTAGCTATCGCTCTAATAAGATTCAGTACATGCAGTAAAAATAACTTGAACTTACTTTTAGGGGGTGTAATTATTTCCTTCACCCTGTCGGACAAAAGAACAAGACAAGTTAATCCAAGAAAGCAAAATCATGTTCATTTCAGATAAACGCTAGTTTGCATTAACTTCAATGTCTTTTTTACCTAGAGGTTTTTAAATTAGAAGTAAAAAATGTAAACCTGCAACATCATCTAATTTTGGCCACTTGGCAGCAGCAGGAACAACACAACACACATTCAATTTCCAGCCACAAGTCCTTTCACTCTCTTTACATTTGTTTTTGGCCAAACTTTGGATCTTTAGCTGCAAAATGCTGTATTATGCTCACGATTAAACCAATAACGGTTCATCTATGTGAGCGCCCAATTTGTTTAAACATTGACACCATATCTGAACAGTTATGATTTTATCCATAGTTTCAAATTATTGTGTTTCCCAGCTGTCACATACATTTCCTCCCCTTCCAGCAGCCTCCTGTAGGTGGCGATCTCCATCTCCAGGTTCTGTTTGATGCGCAGCAGCTGTTCGTAGTCGGTTTTGTTGCGTTGCATGTCCAGACGCAGCTGAGACAGCTCGTCCTCCAGCTGGGTCAGTGTGGATTGAAGACGGTCCATCTCCACCGAGTATTTGTGCCCAGTTTCACCCAGGTTTCCCTCCAACACACTGACCTGTGAACAAAACATACAGGTCAGGATCAGAGACAGTAAATAACAAGTTCCATTCAAAAGTTCATTTGGAAAAATCAGCATTTCAGCTTAGAAAGCTGCGTCCAGCAGGAGTTTGACATCTATTCATTGCTACATCTGCATCTTTGAGACTTATTTCCTGTTTTACTTGGAAATTACTACCTCTTACTACCTCAATTTATTGGATGAGTTTGACTTTTTGGTTTGTCCCATGTCTTGTCCTTTAACATGGAGGAGGTGGGGTGTATAAGCCAGCCACCAAGTTGAGATTGAGATGATTTGGATTAACTTTTGGAGCGCTGTCTTGTCGTCCGTCTTTATTTACAGTCTGACTGTTCATGGTGAACTCAACATAATCTTCCTCTGTCTCACAGCGGAGACACTTTTGTTGACCTAACAATCACAAACACCTTTGGAAGCCCATTTCTATACCACCCAATATCTCTTTGTGTGTTTACCTGCTGAGCTCGTCCATTCACAACCTCTCACTAGGTACTAGAGACTGTCAGCGCCATAATATCTCCACATTAAATACTGTGTGCTCACTATCAGGCTGAACAAACACCCACAAGCTATATCTGCACACTTTCATGTGCTGAATGATCTGTGTTCACTTGCAGTGGATATATTCAGACCAAACACTGTCCGCCTGGGTCTATGTTTGCTGTGTACACTTTACAGCTGCAGTTGCTCTTTGGTGAGAAAGCGAAAGAAGCTATCTATAGTTACGCCCAACATCTGTGCAGTGTGAAGGTGAGGTGATGACATGGAGAGCAAAGGTACTCAATGTGTAAATATATTAATCTCCATATTGGAAAAACTACTTCCTCAGCCTCATAGTGAGAGCACAGAGGCTTCTCTATTACAGTATATTGTTTGTTACAATTATAACTAACCTACAGCTAAATTAGGACAGACCTCTCCTTAATAGAGGATTCATCTATGTTTTATGCATTTTATGTATTTTATCTTGACGTTTGAGATGGTTTCTTACAGAAGTTCATGTATTCAGACTGTACCCGTTTACCACGTGTCACAGTGTTGTACCTGTTTGCGAAGGCTATCGAGCTCGACCTCCAGAGCCTGCAGGAAGCGTCGTCTCTCACTGAGCTCAGTTTGGGCACAACGCAAAGCCTCGTTGCTTTCTTTGACCTCAGACTGCACTGCTTCTAACTGTAGACACACATAAAATAATACACAGTGTCATGTACAGTATGTTGTCTATAAATAATTATTATTATTGTAGTGACGTACCTTCTTGAGGTACCAGGTGTCAGCCTCCTCCTTGTTCTTGCGGGTGATGCCCTCATACTGGACCCTCAGCTCGGCCAGCGTGGCCCCCAGATCAGGACTCTGAGCCGCATCCACCTCCACGTTCACCTGCTCGTTGGCCAGACGAGCCTTGAGGGAGCTTATCTCCTACAATAATTTACACGGGGTGAAAGAGAGAACACTGTTTAATCCTGCCACATCTCACTGTGGTTTCCACCTCACACCCTGGACAATGAGTACTTATTGCAGAGTCGTTATGGATGACCACAACTCTCGGGCAGCAGTGGCTGCTGACAGGTGACATCTCACTTTTTCTACATAAGTTAAGTGTCTGAACATATCATGAGGACAAGGATGGCTCAGTCTACATCCTGGACACCACACCTGACTGTCTAAACAATCCATGTGCCTGAATGGGCTCAAATACACTGTGCTGTCTGGAAGCACCATGGCAACAAAGACAAAGGGTGTGTCAGTACACTTAACATTATCATGTTTCAGATGCTGAATACTGTTAGGCCTAACTGGCCTGAGTAAGTAAACACAAACTGGTTCATGTCAAACTCGTTCAGTACAAAACTAGGATGTATCAAAACTCTGTGGTTTTAATTTTAATAATGTCATGGTACAGGAAACTGACATTCATAAAGTTCAGTGAACACACTCGCTTCCTTCATTTTAACCAGACTAGACTTGACAGTTTGTTAGGTGATGAGCATGATGAGTAACTGATCTATCATGTCAGACGTGACCTTGACCTCCGCAGGAATCTCACCTCTTCGTGATTCTTCTTGAGGAAGTAGAGCTCCTCCTTCAGGCTGTCCAGGTCTCCTCGCAGTGTAGCGATGATCTGGTCGTGGTCAGACTTTGCTCTCCGCAGAGCCTGACAGTCCCTCTCCACCGACTGGCACAAGGTGGCCTCCGCCTCCCACCTTCAGAAAAAACACAGAGGAGGATTAAAATAAGACGAAAGGAGATCGTAAGATGTGCAACACCTTTATTTCCTGACTCAGCACTGTAATGCCTATCTTGTATGAAACCATGCCTTCTCCATAACACAGTCTGCTCCTGGTGGACTCCCTGCTTAGTTTGACACTTCTAAAACAACTTCTAACTCCTAAAAGACAACATTTGTGCATATCACAAAAACACAAATGTGTCTTCTTCTATAAAGACTTGCTATCGAAACTGACATCTGGATTAGAAATAAACTCACAAGTTATATGTACACTGAATATTCTTCGATCCAAATCTGCAGCTTGTTAGTGATGATATTGGAATTATCTTTACAACTGCAGTATGTACATGTATTAAGTATCAAATACATGTATTAAGTTATACTATTTATAGTTTTGCCATCTAGCGACCACAAGGACTGTGAATTGCATATTTTGAATATATAAATAAGAAGACGTGATTTGACATGAAATCCCAGAAATCCCAGATCCTAGAAAGAATGGAAACTCGTGCAAACATCTGGATGTCAGGTACAAAAGCACTTTGCTGCTGATGCCATGAATCACTGTAAATTGATGTATCACTACTATCACAGAACATACCATCAACACGCTGTGAAAAACAGCAGCAGTGGGCGTTCCCTGACTCTTCCATCTTCCCTCCGGCTTCAGACTCTCCAGAAACAGACTTTGTCTCTCTGACCTGCTCAATATGTCATTGACGGCGAGGCAGTGGGTGCCTGAGCACCGTGGGAATGTGGCTCTTATTTCGCAAGCTGACAGAAAGGTCATTTATTCACATTGCTCCGCAGTCTGACGCTCTCATGCGAACACTCACAGGCAGCTTAAAGAAAGGAACCCTCTGTGTGACACTCACTTGACCCTGAAGTCATCGGCTGCCAGCTTGGCGTTATCAATCTCCAGCATGATACGAGCGTTCTCCAGCGTCTTCTTTCTCACCTGAGCAGGAACAGGGAACATTAGTTAACATGGAGAACAAGAGCTGGTGTGTTTTTTATAATTATAATGTCAATGTGCTGGTTTATTTACTGTTACCAACAGGCAGAAAACAATACATGTTCTTTCTAAAGCGTGTCATCTGGAAATCAGTTAAAAAGTCTGTTGCAGGAGTTTTTACTGCCTTCGTCTATTTACCTTTAAATAAAGATGGACTAGCTACTGTAACGTTTTCTTTATCTCTTGTGTCAATAAACCCAAATGTCATTCTGTTGTTTTGAAGCACATGCATTGCGAGTTAATGTTGAATTGGAGGACAGGTGTGTGTCTTTCAAACTAGAATGACAAAAGTCACATTTCTGCTTTATTAAAAATCCTGAACTCATCTACCTTCACCTGATTCAACCCAGGTGTGAATCAATCTTATTATAGAAAAGAAAGACATCAATCCCAGATTAGATGCTTCTTCACAGGAGGTCATGGTGAAGTGGATTCTTACATTTCTTCTATTTGACACTGACCTGCTGCCCGATGGCATGTGCCTGGGCCATCATCCCCTCGATGTCATGACCTTTTGGAGCCTTATCCATCATGAGCTGTTTGATCTTCACCTCCAGCTCAGCGTTGGACCTCTCCAGCGAGCGCACCTTGTCCAGGTAGTTGGCCAGCCGGTCGTTCAGGCACTGCATGGTTTCCTTATCGCAGGTGCCGACCCCCAGGCCGTTGTAGTTGAGGCTGGAGCCCAGCATGTTGAGGCCGTTACCCACAGAGACGGAGCGGGACAGGGAGAGGGTGCTGATGGTGGACAGAGGAGAGGCGGAAGGCTTGGAACGGATGCTGCGTCCGCTGTCCCTCACAGACATGCTGGAGGAGGAGGGCTGGCGTATGGAGTAGCTGCGCATGGAGAGGGTAGAGGCCATAGTGTCCTCTGCAGAAGATTAAGAAGATTAACATGCACATGTACAGACAAGGGCCTGAAGAAAAACTTTTCTGTCTATTAGCAGGACAAAAATGATTAATTAATGACATTGAGACGTTACTCTTGAGCTTGAAGACAGTTTAAAGATGGACATTCACTCAACATTTAGTCGAAGATGGGTGTCTCCATTGGGACGAGTTCAAAAAGAGACAGAAATACAACATTGTTTAGTCTGTTTTCAGTAGATGTTTGTCTTTTTGTTGGCACTTTGCTTCTCTTGATAATGGTTTCCATGTCTCTTTGCTGGTTACTTCTGTAAAACAGAGTCTCTGTATGTTTTGTTTGTGATTTTCATTCTCTTTGTGGGTGTTTGGAGTCTGTCTTCAGTCATTTTGCATCTCTTTGTGTTTTGCATGTCCCTGGAGTCATTTCTTATCATTCTGTGGTTGTTTAATTGTCAAACGGCAACTTGCACCACAGACTGAGGCTCCTGATTGATGATGGTTTAAATAAAAGTGATGAATATGAAACATTATAGTTTTTCTTATCAGTATTTTTTGATGTCTCTCTCCATCTGCCAGAGCGGTGAGCTTTAAATCTGCCTCCTCCTATGTCAAATTGAAAACTTTATTGCTCGCTCACTGATATTTAATGGTCAGTTAATAAGAAGAGGAAAGTAAGATGAAAACAACACTTACATCGAGGTCAGTTCTTGAGTCTTCTTCTCTTCTGCTGGTTTCCACCCTGGTGCTGAGAGTGACCGCTGCTGCTGGACCAGATTCACAGGTGAGTTGAGCTGCAGAGGCAGGAGTCTGTGTTGAGGTGGAGCCTCTGATGCTTTGTCCAATCCCACTGCAGCAAAGAGGAGGATGCAACTTGACACCACGAGGAGGAGGAGTGAGAAAAGTAACAGCGAGTGGTGCACACAAACTAAACTAATGCTGTTCACTGTTCAGCAGCTGTAAGTTGAGACACGTGATCTATGACTGAATCAACATCAATTAATTTACCTTTAATGAAGACAGTGGAGTAGAAAGTAAAATATTTCCCTCTGAAATTGAGTAGAAGTACCAGCATATGAAAAATACTGCAATTAAAAACAGAATTTAAGTAATTGTATTCAGTTACTTTCCACCACTTAATATTACTGATTCAGTTATTCTCAATATTATGCATTCACTTGTAAGCAACATTTTAATGTTGTCAGGATCTAATTTTAACTACTTTTTTTATTGTATGTTTTACGTGGATATTCTTGAGCTGCAAAGTGGCAAGTGTAGATAAACACAATAATGTGTCTGAAAAGTAGTTTGACATAAGAGATTGGTGTTGGTTGCAATTAATGTATTATGAAATTTGAATTGTATGAGATTTTAGGACTGCATGATATTAATCTTGCTTTGCTCTGTAGATGGGTGGGGGTGTTTGGAGGGTTGAGGGGTATTGCTTTGTTGCTTTCATTCTGTGAAGCACTGTGTGTGTTTGCGTATGAAAACTGTCACACAAATAAAGTTTGATTGAAAGTGTACTTTGTTATATTCCTGGACTTTTACAAACTGACTTTGAGATCTTTATTACTTGTTCATACACTGACATCAACATTCTTTGGCGAAACCACTGAGCACAAACCGGTGTGGCAGGCTGGCTGGAACCAGGGCCCCTACTGTCTCCACAGTGATCCCATTGAGCCTGGACACAATGCAGCCAGAGCCTGGCGGGGTGCAGAGAAACAGGATGAAGCAGCCAACAATGAAAAGAAAGCGAAGACCCCTGAGAAATGCAGAGAGAAGTGCAGGGCGTAGGTCTGGTTGAACTGGAAACATGGCCTAAATTCACACCCAGACCCAGAAACACACACCATCTTTGTACATTTGATAAGTGTCAACCATCTCCCAGCTCCTCTCTTACAGTCATGCAGCAATCCCTGGTTACTGTCCTGTAAAATTCCTCTGCTGAGCATTATTCTCTCTGTAGGATCAGATCACACAGTGACACTGACCTGGTTTAGTGCCGTCCAGGTCTCCGCCTCTATCCACACACACACACACCGACACACACACACACACACACACACACACACACACACACACACGCACACACACAGAGCTCTCCAGGCTGTTGAGATCATCCACATGATCAATTTGACACTTTAAAAGCAAATAAAGAGAAAGTTACACAATGGTTGTTTATTCAGATTGTTCAGTGTGTACAGTTTCCTTTGTGCTGTCTGAATAACTTATCCGACCTCACACACACAATAACATGAAAAGCCTTAACTATGTCCACAATGAGGTTCGATCAAAATCCCAACAAAAGGAAAACCCTGAACTACAGTTTCAGAAGTATTGTCTTTAACTAGACAAGATTGCACAGATGTTTATATATGTGTGTGATGCAAACAGCTATAGATTGAATCCATGTTGTGGAAAACATGCTTGAATAATATCACATAGGACTAAATGACTGTATGCAAATCAATTGTTCACAATCCACAGTAGCAGAATGAACACACTGCCACCTTGTGGGTGAGAAATGTTCTACATAGCGGTCATGATGCTGATTCTTCTCTACAGAGATGTAGTGACACTGTCACTTCTGGATTTTGTTTGTTTCCCTTAAAAAATTAAAATCTTTATTATGAATATGAATAATATTTTCGTTCCCTTTGATGAACACCAAATCCCATGAGCCCCAAACATTTACAAACTTTGTTCTTGTCATATTTGAGTAACTGTAATGTATCTGACTTGGTGCTTAAAAACATTGATGAACCAACAAAGTCCACTATTAAAGACAACTAAACCATTTAATAGATACAGTATTTTACAGAGCTCAGTAAAAACACATTATTTATTGTACTTCATGTATTTTTCCTACAGGGGGCTGAAGGGGGGGGGGGGTAAGATGGTTGCAACCTAGATGCTCACCACTAGGTGCCACTAAATCCCTACACACTGGCCCAATCTAAACCTAATGTATTATAATACAACACTCCTGTAATACAGTGACATTATCCAGAGAGGTGCTGTGACGTCATTTTGAGACGGTGGCAGTCGTGGTGCTGCTGAGCTGAACTCTATTATATAGCAGTGTTTTTGTTTCCCATTGACTTTAATGGGGTGAAGACATTGATGCATTAACACAATAAAATTAAACAGCTCCACAGACAGTTGAACTGCAACCTCCCAGAATCCCGTCCTCCACTGTGCTCTAGCGCCACCATCAGTCCTCCCCTACATCCAGCACACATCTCTGCATCCAGCACGCCTCAGGAGAGCGATTTAGACTCTACTCCAGCTTCTAATAAATCAAAACTGACGTGCTGTGATATATGAAGTCGTTGTCGCGCCCCCCCCTCCACCCCACCCCGGAAAATAAACACATTCTGGGACCCTGCTGTGGAGTCCTGTGTTTATTTTTGCATAGAGCACAGTTTGGCCGTCGGCCCGGGTGAAGTGAATCACATGTTTCAACCATTTCCTCGCTTTTCATCAGCTCTCCTCCTATAGTCTGCTACTGTAAAACTCCTTGTTTATATGTGGAAAAAGTCTGTTTCTCAGAATGTCCATAGTACACCATGTACCAGCCTGAAGTCCATGGTCAAATAAATTCATTTTGTTTTGTATTTGTTTGGAAACTTGATACTGGATACGGTTTATAGCTTTTATAGCAAGGAAAGGCCTGTGCAATGTCCACATTTAAACAAAACACCCTGAGCCACAAAGTAAATTCATCGTGGTCCAGTTCCTCTATAAAAAGGATGTTTCACCTAAAAATGCTCGCTCACGCAGCACTCACCCTCCCGCTGTTGTTTGTTGACTTGGATCCAGCTCCGAAGCCTCAAATAGTCCTGTTCTGAACAACAGATTTAGTCACCGTTGGTTTGAGAGCGGCTCAAATTGCTGGTTTACTCCTGTGTCACCAAACAGCTGATGGATGACATGAAATTTAGATATGATGCTAAGATAAGTGCTTCCAGGAATAAACTGCTGTTGTTGGAGGAAAATTCACCCTGCATGGCACGATGGTAAGAACAAGGTTGACAACTAGAGAAAATATTTGTGATACAAAAGTCAAAGTTTATGTTTACACTTCACCCACACCTCCATCAACATAGTGGTGAGTAGATAATGAGTGAATTTTCATTTTCGGGTGAACTATCCCTTTAATCCACCCCTTACACCTCTGCTACTGTGTTTTGAAAAACCAGAGTCAGATTCAAAATATCAATTTTACGCTGTTTACACAATTTTGTCTTGTGAAGGAATCCAAGCTTACTCAGCTATTTTGCTTAAAGCTACAGTTCCTAAAATGTGAATGGACAATTTTCACATGTGGAGAGGATTCATTTGAACTAAATTAGTCACAGTTATAAAGAGTACAGTTGGAATAAAAGGTCTGAAGCATTCATTTACAATATCAACTGTCTTGTTGACATATTATTTGATAAAAAGTGTTGAACAAGGTGTTAAAATCTTAAACTCACATTATTTTAACATGTGGGGAGAATGCAGCAGGTTTAAATGATACAACACATGAACAAGGCCTCTCTGTGTTACTGTATTTACCTCTATAATCATTAGGATTCGTTTATTTCATGATGTATTTTTACAGCAACTCTATTCTTAAATTCATCATCCAAGTTCTTTTGTTCAGGAGCCGAAACTAAAACATTATAATACTCATCAGCCATTCAGTTGCTTTGCATGGCCTCATCAGTTCAGTCACATGAAATCCTCAAGTGCAGCAAGATAAAAAATAAACGGACAAAGAAACTGAAGAAGCTGTCAGCATATGGCAGCATCCGAAATAAACTCGAGGAGGAGGAGGGCGCTGATGATGAAGATGGCTCACATTGCAATCTTCCACAGAGGTTTTGTTGACTGTTGTGCAGGGGGAGAGCTCATCAGCATGAAGAAGAGAAATGTGAATACGCAGAGACAAGGGGCACTGCAGTGTATCTGCTCATTAGGCGGGCGACGCTGTAATTCAGTGAGCGAGCAGCTCTGCAATCAGGGGCCTATTCATTAGCATGGGGGGCCCGCTTTCATCTGCAACCACTTGAGGCTGCCAATCACCGAGGCGGACGCATGACAGGATGAAAAAACACGGGGAGGCTTGAATGCTCGGGGATGCTTGTGCATGGAGAGAGAGAGAGACATGCCTAAATGCTGCCTTAAGCTTTTGGATCTGAGAGGGACTTTAATGGGGGAGAAATATGCGTTTTTACAGTGTAGTGCTGGCAGGTGGCCCAAACTATGTCAGTCTGATAATCATCTCTCTGCTTAGCATGAAGACAGCTTTTGTTCTACGATTTCACAAGGAGCTGCATCGCTTTCCCGCAGGTTTCCTCCTGATTGAATTGATTGAAAGTGATTGATTGGAAGAAACTTGATTTAGAGGTAAAGTTTAGGAAAGAGTTCTCCCTCTGTCTTCCTTTACACCCGCTCATTCTGTGATCTCCAGTCTTTTTTTTAATTTAAACACAGATAGAGTTTGGACCCACACACAAAAACATACGTACATGTGTTCAAAAATAAGAACATGACGCAGACACACTCATATTGGTCCGGTCAACGTTTGGGCATCTCTGATTAAATAAGTCAAACACTGTGTATGTTTTTACCTGCTGTAGTTCTGCTGTCACCTGAAACCGTGTGAATGCAAATGTGAACAAACTCTTTCTGTGATTTAACTCAAAGTAAATGTTTGTGTTCGGCACTTTATAACAGTAAATTCAACAATCTGGGGTTGTTCCACCTGTGTCTTCTGACAGAA